GCCTATGAATTACCGCTGAATATTTTCGCTATTCAATGGTATAATTTGTGATGTTTTTATGTATATTTACTATTGAGTATGGATGGATTGTTTTCTCGAACGCCTGGTATGATTAAGTGAGGTTGACCCGCGGGTGACGTCACTTGATTATACAGCGGTTGTACACGCGCTTAGATTGCGGTCTGGGGCATGTCCATTAAGTGGTATCAGAGCCATCTCAGTTCTAAACTATGTAATAAACCTCTCACAAGAGATTTTACAAAAGAGTTTTACCGAAAACCCCGAGGTTGCAAGGTCTCTAGTTGTTAAGATGGTACCCTTAACAGATGGTATGACGGTGACTTAAGCCAATATGTGTATATAACGTGTTCCATCAGTTGACATTGATTGGAGTCTAACGGCTCGTTCAAATTTCTTTGTAGAAATGGAGGGTAGATGTTTGCCGACGAGAAACAACCCTAGGGGACTAGCTGCGGGAGCCTCCGTGGGGGCTAGCCGAGCCACATCCCTTGGCTCTAGGGGTAAAAGAGGAGGTCATGTAGGCCATTGGGGACACCATGCCCAAACACTGAGCGATGGCCACGTAAGCTCGGTGTATGAAACTAGCACCGAGAATTATGACTCAACATTTGTTCCTGAAACGGAGCATGAGGAGACCCCATATTACGGGGGTGACTTCCACACCGATGAGGAAGACAATGAGGAGAGTGATGCCCGATTCGCTCAAATGGGAGAGCTGCTAGAATGGTATCAAAAAGAGAAACAAAGGAGAGATCTTAGGCGCCAAGCGAGGCGTGACTCTCAAGGAGGATTGGGTAAAGGAAACAGGGGAGCTTCAAGGGCTGTTTCAGGGGCGTCTCGGGATAGACGTGAGGGAGATTCCCGTGTGAGGATCTCCAAATACCTCAAGGAGGCTAGAGCCTTGGGGTGCAGGTCCTTCGACGGCACCAACGATATTACCGTTGCCATCGATTGGATAAAGAAGGTGAAAGATGCATTAAGGGACATGCAAATAAGACCTGATGTGAAGTTGGCTGTTGCTTCAAGTTTGCTTGAAGGAATAACTTCTACATGGCGGGAGAGTGTGGAAGGAAAGTACCGTGGAATATCTCAAGGGAAAACTTTGAACAGGAGTTCTACGCCCAATACTACTCCGACTACGAGGTAAATGTGAAGCGTAGGGAGTACACGAACCTCAAACAAAAGGAGGACGTAACTGTCAAGCAATTGGAGCAAGAATTCAGAACCTTGGCGAGGTTCTTACCGGAGTATGCGTCCGATGAGGACCGCATGACTGTGCATTTTTGGGATGCCTTACTGTTGGACATCTGTGATCGGGCCACGTACTCACGCCACATGACGTTTAGTGAGGTGGTGGAACAAGGTATGCTTGGGGAAACCTAATGGAACGAAAGAAAAGAGAGAGACGCCGAAGAGGCGAAGAAGAGGAAGTGGCACAGTTCGGGACCGCCCGATCATTCGCGTAAGAATAACCACGGAGGCAATAGTTCGTTCAAGGCGCCAACATCACTAGCGAAGAAGAACAGGGACTCTAGGTGGCACACATCCGGGTCTCACAATTCGGGACCACCTAAATGTGCCAACTATTCAAAGAACCATTTTGGGAAGTGCAATGCACCCCCGAGGTGTTACCAATGTGGGAATACGGGTCATATGAAGGCCAATTGCCCACAATTGAGGAAAGAAGGAACTTTGGGGGCCGGAGGGGGAACCATGACGGGGAAGAACCGTGTAGGGCCGTCACACGACGGCTCGGGAAGAGGCGGCAGATCCGCAAGCAAAGCCGTGTCCGTCAATCAAGGCGGGGCCCAAGCGAGAGTCTATGCCATGACCGAAGCAGATGCACGTGCTAACCCGGACTTCGTTGCGGGTAATTCCTTACACTCATGATTCATACTCTATCGTAAGCATAGGGGTGTTTGAACTTGTGAAATTTTTAACCCTGGCAAATCAAGTCGTGTTTAGGAGGCGGAAGAGGAAGGAATCCACGCCTTGGGCGAATGCTGCCCGGCATTGACGAAAGCCACCCGAATTTCGTCTTGATTTATTATTAAATACTACGGCGCTAAAGAGCGGCTGACGTGTGTGAAACCCGGCCTGCCAAAAGAGAAAGCCGGCCGTCTTTCGTAAACTATTAAAATGCGATTTTTCTCGCTGTTGAACACCGGCAGCCTTCGTACGAACTGGCCGACTTTTGGAATTAAATTCCGGAATAAAAATACGGCGCTGAAAACCGGCCGGCTTTCATGGAAACTGGTCGTCATTTGCGAAGTGGGAAAATGTTACTCAGCCATAAATCGACCGGCTTTTGCAAAGCCCGACCGGCTTTTAGAAATTTAATTTTGAATAAAACTACGGTGGTAAACGCCGGCTGGCTTTCGTAAAGCCCGACCAGCTTACATAGCGGGGATTGCCGGACCCATGCCCAAGGCATGAAAACCGGCCGGTTTTCATGAAAAGCAGTCGGCTTTCGCCCGGATTGGTCGTAAGGTGAACCCTAGGCTTGGAAACCGGAAAATTTCGGTGGGGTGTCAGATGGTCTCAATCCGAACCATGACCAACGTACTCTACGACCCAACAAACGAGTCTATTAGGTAGGGGGTTTGTCTTACATTGCTTATTAATGTAGGAACACTAAAGGTTAACGGGAGAGATGCAAGAATCCTTATTGACACCGGGGCGCAATGATCATTTGTGAGTGAGGCGTTCGCCAAGGGATTCAACAAATCACTTGTACCGATGACTCAAACTCTATTGGTTTCCACACCTTTGGGGGATGACATCGAAAGAGAGAGCCACTATCCATCGTGTGAGGTGGAAGCAGAGGGCCAAACCTTGATGCGTGATTTTGTGCCGCTGAGTATGATCGAGTTCGATGCAATCCTCAGGATGGATTGGCTTGAGAAGCATCATGCTAGGGTCGATTGCTACACAAAGGTCCTTGAGCTCGAAAGCGCTGAAGGGCTGATTCTACGCTTTGAGGGTGATAGAGGCAAAGCAAATAGTTGTATCATATCTGCCGTGAGGGCATGGAAGATGATGAAAAAGGGATGCCATGCGTATCTTGCTTACGTGGTGGACAATATAAAGAAAGAAGTTCACATCAACGATGTACGCATCGTGTGTAAGTATCCAGACATCTTCCCCAAAGACTTACCGGGGCTTCCACCCGATAGAGAAATCGAATTCGTGATTGAGCCCGGAACCAAACCCATTTCGATTCCTCCTTATCGAATGGCACTGGCAGAACTTCAGGAATTGAAGGTCCAATTATGAGAACTACTGGACAGTGGGTTTATTAGACCTAGTCATTCACCGTGGAGAGCACCGGTACTCTTTGAGAGAAAGAAAGATGGTACACTGAGAATGTGTATTGATTACCGACAGTTGAACAAAGTCACAATCAAGAATAGGTATCCCTTACTGAGGATTGATGACTTGTTTGATCAACTTCGGGGGGAGATGGTGTTCTCAAAGATTGATTTGAGGTCGGGCTATCATCAATTGAAGATCAAGGAAAGTGACATACCTAAGAGTGCATTTCGCACTAGATAAGGTCATTTGGTTTAACCAATGCACCGGCGGCATTCATGGACTTGATGAACCGTGTGTTTAGTGAGTACTTATATCAGTTTGTTATTGTATTCATTGATGGCATCTTAATATACTCGAAGGACGAAGAAGAACATGAGCATCACTTAAGGCTTGTACTTGAGCGACTAAGGGAAAAACAACTATTTGCCAAGTTCTCTAAGTGTGAATTTTGGCTCAAGGAGATTGGTTTCCTCGGTCATATCATATCCGGTTCGGGCGTTGCGGTGGACAATGCCAAGATAACAACCATCATTGATTGGGAGATACCCAAGAGTATGAAGGAGATACGTAGTTTCCTTGGCCTTGCAGGTTACTACCGTAAGTTCGTCGAGAAATTCTCCGTTTTGGCGTATCCACTAACGAAGCTCACAAAGAAAGGCGCTAAGTTCATATGGGATGACAAGTGTGAGGAGGGGTTCCTTGAGCTAAACAATGACTTACCGGGGCGCCAGTTCTTGCTTTACCCATACAAGGTATAGGGTATGACATTTATAGTGATGCTAGCATCCAAGGGCTTGGATGTGTACTAATGCAAAAGGGAAAGGTGATTGCCTTTGCTTCTAGGCAATTGAGGAAACACAAGGTGAACTACCCTACCCATGACCTAGAGTTGGGAGCAGTAGTGTTTACACTAAAGATTTGGAGGCATTATCTCTACGGGGAGACATGTCACATCTACACCGATCGTAAGAGCTTGTAGTATGTATTCACTCAGAAAGAGTTGAATATGACGCAAAAGATGTAACACCCTCCCCAATTGTATTTACTTTTATGTAAATCTTGTATTGAATCTTATGAACTGGTTATGAATTTACGAGGTTGTAAATTTTTGTTATTACTTTTGCGTGAATAGTGAATTGCACGTGGGGCCCACATCGGGAGCGGGACCACCAGATAATCCCGGGACCACATATTATATTCATCTTGGTTTAGATAATATGTATATGGTGGTAGATATTTTAGTCGGGCCATGGAAAGGACATAAGGTTGACCGGTCAGTCAAATATGGCCCAATTACCGGTATTGGGGATTTATCGGATAACAGTCCAAGATGAATTTCGGAGACTTCCAAATTAAAGGTGATGAATGTATATTCATTCTAAGAGTCCATAATGATGGGGAACACATAATATATTTTATTTGACCTGATAAAATAAAATATGATTAAAACAGTCCGAAAAATACAACTTTCGGGACCAATTGTACATTTCGGGACATAAAGGGATGACCTCCCACATGAGTGGGGGCCACCCCACGCTTTTTGAGCTCAAATTAATTGGGGAGGCTGTACAACATGATAGGAAGGAGGGTTAGAGGATGCATGAATTGGGAGAGGACATGAGGTGGACCTATTACCTCACACTCATTGGCCTATTGAGACAAAAGAGCCATTCTCACTCCTCCCCTCCATTATGCTCGACCCTATCATCAAGAAAAGAGGGAGAAGACTCTGCAACTCCATTATTCCATATCCAAACTCGAGCTCAACCATTAGAGGTCCAAAAAGAGGTATTTGAAGAAGAAAAAGATAGGAAAAAGTGCGGAGAATTAAGGTAATGACCTTATATTAACTTTTCTCTTCTTTTTAACTATCATATGGATAACACATCTTATGAGGACACCCTAGGATTGTTCTACATGTTTAGAAGTGTAGAATGAGGGGTTGGAAGGTACTTCAAATCCAAGAACGGACTTAAAAGCCAAAACGACCGGTTCGCCGGAAAATAACCTTTTAGAGGTTATTTGTATTGATATGAGTTTTGTGATGATAAAAACATGTTAGGAGCATAACTAAGGTGTTTCTAGAGTTCATCGGAGTTCCGCCGGAGTTCCGCCGGAGTTCGCTGGAGTTTCGCAGGAGTTTCGTTGGAGTTCAACCAAGGAGTGTGGAACATGCTAAAAGCTCATTTAAGGTGATTGGACGGCTTAATATCTTATAACTTTTGGGTTAATTATGATATTACCTAAATAAATGTTATACATATTCATAATGATGTTTAAAGGATATTTAAACATGTGATTAGCCAAAATGATTAGGCTTGTATGAAATGAATTACTTGAATATGCATGGAGTATGATGTGAGAATTTCTATGAAATTACATGCTATGGATTAAAGGGTAAAGGAAGCCTAGAATGAATATTATTGACTTAATATACACGATGATTGAGTTTATATGTATAAGGCTTGAAATGGCGGTCAACGAAAACGTTGACCGATGGATAATGGATTAATTAATACCGGTTGATATTAGTTAATTACAAATTTATATAAACGCATGGCTTGCATGAGTTGAGATACATAAGCTTTATGGATTGATTTAGCTATGAATGAATAAATATGATATAGACTCTATCTAGGTTGATAGGAGCTTGATCATAGGATTATATATTGGTGGAGGACCCTAGGACTTAAAGTCCTTAACACTCAAATTATATATTGGTGGAGGACCCTAGGACTTAAATTCCTTAACACTCATATTTTGGTGGAGGACCCTAGGACTTAAAGTCTTTAACACTCATATTTTGGTGGAGGACCCTAGGACTTAAAGTTCTTAACACTCAAATTATATATTGGTGGAGGACCCTAGAACTTAACGTTCTTAACACTCGGATTATATATTGGTGGAGGACCCTAGGACAAAAAGTCCTTAACACTCGGATTATAAATTGGTGGAGTATCCAAGGATTTTGATCCTCAAAACTCATAGGTCATGGTATATAAATATGGACAAGGAGGAGTCCTATACACTCATAGATATATGGGTGGGTTGGGTTTTTTTTAGTCAAGAACATTGACTATTACTATTTTTCCTAAATAAAATGGTGATATACGGATCGGGTATTTTTCCATGTGTATATGTACTATTAAGTATTTCTTAACTTTGGGTCTTATACTTGAAACGATAGTTATTCTATATTTAGCCTGCTACTCGCTCGGTACTTGTACTGACCCCTTCGGGGGCCCTACCATTTTCAGGTTGAAGCTAGGGCTTGCAACCTGCACCTTTCTACGGGTGACATCAAATCAAGGAAGACGTGGTTCGTGCTTCCTCGTTTTCTTTCAAATTACCAAACATTGCTCATGGATATTTTTAATTGTTATAAACTACTTTTGGGCTTGCATGCCCATGTTATTGGCCGAATGTGGCCTATGAATTACCGCTGAATATTTGCGCTATTCAATGGTTTGATTGTGATGTTTGTTATGTATGTTTACTACTGAGTATGGATGGATTGTTTTCTCGAACGCCTTGTATGATTAAGTGAGGTTGACCTGCGAGTGACGTTACTCGATTATACGGCGTTTATACACGTGCTTAGATTGCAGTCTGGGGCGTGACAATTAAGTGGTATCAGAGTCATCTCAGTTTTAAACTATGTAATCAACCTCTCACAAGAGATTTTGCAAAAAGAAATTTTTACCGAAAACCATGAGCATTGTATTTTGACGTTCATAGAACTATTGTTACCTAGGTTGCAAGGCCTCTGGTTGTTAAGATGGTACCCTTAACAATTGGTATGGCGGTGACTTGGAGCAATATGTGTCTATAACGTGTTCCGTCAATTGACATTGATTGGAGTCTAATGGCTCGTTCAAATTTCTTTGTAGAAATGGAGGGTAGACGTATGCCGACGAGGAACAACCCTATGGGACTAGCTGCGGGAGCCTCCGTGGGGGCTAGCCGAGCCACATCCCTTGGCTCTAGGGGGAGAAGAGGAGCCGTGTAGGCCATGGGGGCCACCGCGCCCAAACTGTGAGCGATGGCCACGTGAGCTCAGTGTATGAGACTAACATCGAGAGCTATGATCCAACTTTCGTTCCGGAAACGGAGCATGAGGAAACCCCATATGATGGGGGCGATTTCCACACGGATGACGATGGTGACAATAGTGAAAATGACGCCCGTTTTGCTCACATGGGTGAGCTATTTGTATGCTATCAAAAGGAAAAGCTGAGGAGGGATCTTAGACGCCAAGCTAGGCGTGCCACTCAAGGCGGATCGGGCCAAGGGAGCCGGGGGGGGGGGGGGGGCTCCAAGGGTTTTTTCAAGGGCGTCTCGGGATAGATGTGAGGGAGATTTCTGTGTGAGGATCTCCAAATACCTCAAGGAGGCTAGAGCCTTGGGGTGCAGGTCCTTCGACGGCACTGGCGATATTACCATTGCCGCCGATTGGATAAAGAAGGTGAAAGATGCATCGAGAGACATGCAGATAACACCTGACGTGAAGTTGACTGTTGCTTCACATTTGCTTGAAGGAATAGCTTCTACATGGTGGGAGAGTGTAGAAGGAAAGTACCGTGGGAACATCTCATGGGCAAGCTTTGAACAGGAGTTCTACGCCCAATACTACTCTGACTATGAAGTGAATGTGAAGCGTAGAGAGTACATGAACCTCAAACAGAAGGAGGGCGTGACCGTTAAACAATTGGAGCAAGAGTTTAGAACCTTGACTAGGTTCTTACCGGAGTATGCGGCTGATGAGGACCGCATGACCGAGTACTTTTGGGATGCCTTATTGTTGGACATCCATGACCGGGCCACATACTCACGCCACATGACTTTTAGTGAAGTGGTGGAACAAGGTATGCTCGGGGAAACCCAATGGAATGAAAGGAAGGAGAGAGACGTTGAGGAGGCGAAGAAGAGGGACCGCCCGAGCACTCGCATAAGAACAACCACAAAGGCGGTGGTTCGTTCAAGGCGCCGGCACCACCGGTGAAGAAGAACTGGGACTCTAGGTGGCACATGTCCGGGTCTCACCATTCGGGACCACCAAAATGTGCCAACTGTTCAAAGAACCATTTTGGGAAGTGGAATGCACCCCCAAGGTGCTACCAATGCGGGAACGCGGGAAACATGAAGGCCAATTTCCCACAATTGAGGAAGGAAAGGACTTCAGGGGCCGGAGGGGGAGCCCTGACGGGAAGGAACCATGCAGGACCGTCACACGGCGGCACGGGAAGAGGCGACACATCCACAAGCAATGACGCGTCCGTAAATCAAGGCGGGGCCCAAGCAAGGGTCTATGCCATGACCGAAGCGGATTCATGCGCTAACCCGGACTCCGTCGCAGGTAATACACTTATTTTCAACTGTTTCTAGGCTTATATTGGTGATATAAGTCGTAGGGATTGAGTGCGGGCTATCCCGGGGTCAAACTAGGGGGAAATCGGGCCAAAACTGGCTGAAAACAGGGACGCACGATCCTGCGTCCAACCCCACACACGATCGTGCGTAGGGGGCAGTAGCTCCGGGGTGTTGTTCGCAGGACGCATGACCGTGCGTGCAAGTATGCACGCCGTGCGTGGACGCACGATCGTGCGTTCCCGGCTACGCACAACCGTGCATAGCCGGTAGTGGCCAGATCCGAGTTTTTCACGCACGCACGACCGTGCATGGACCCCCGTCGCTCGAAACTCGATTTTCCCGCTCCGTTCTTCTATGATTTGACCCCCGTTTGTTTCAAAACATTAATGTAAACGTAATAACATCCAAAAGGGTCCGAAAACATTAGAAGGTGTATCTTACATGGCGTATAAATGTAGGAACATTAAAGATCAACGGTAGGAGTGCGAGGATCCTCATCGATACCGGGGCACAACGCTCATTTGTGAGTGAGGCGTTCGCCGAGGGTCTTGACGTGCCATTGATGCATATGACACAAACATTGCTAGTCTTGACACCATTAGGAGACGACGTGGAGAGGAATCATTACTATCCATCATGTGAGGTAAAAGTGACGGGTCAACCTTTGACTTGTGATTTCGTACCTCTAAGCATGTTGGAGTTCGATGCAATCCTAGGAATCGACTGGCTCGAGAAGCATCATGCTCGAGTTGATTGTTACACCAAGGTCTTAGAACTCGAGGATGATGAAGGAAACACCATACGTTTTGAGGGAGATCGAGGAAGATCTCAAAGTTGCATCATATCCGTGATGAGAGCACGGAAGATGATGAGGAAAGGTTGCCACGCGTACCTTGCTTACGTAGTAGATGGGACAAAGAAGGAGGTCGACATCAATGATGTACGGGTCGTGTGTAAGTATCTGGATGTCTTCCGCAAAGACTTACCGGGGCTTCCACCAGATAGAGAGATCGAATTTGTGATTGAAGTAGAGCCGGGAACAAAACCCATTTCGATTCCTCCTTATCGAATGGCACCGGCAGAACTTCAAGAGTTGAAAGTCCAATTGCAAGAACTATTAGACAGTGGGTTCATTAGACCTAGTCATTCACCGTGGGGGGCACCGGTACTTTTTGTGAAGAAGAAAGATGGTACACTAAGAATGTGTATTGACTACCGACAGTTGAATAAGGTCACAATCAAGAACAGGTATCCTTTACCTAGAATTGATGACTTGTTTGATCAACTTCGAAGGGCAATCGTATTCTCGAAGATTGATTTGAGGTCGGGGTATCACCAGTTGAAGATCAAGGAAAGTGACATACTTAAGAGTGCATTTCGCACTAGATATGGTCATTTTGAGTTCCTTGTGATGTCATTTGGTTTAACCAACGCAACGGAAGCATTCATGGACTTGATGAACCGTGTGTTTAGTCAGTACTTAGACCAATTTGTGATAGTGTTCATTGATGACATCTTGATATACTCCAAGAGCGAGGAGGAGCACGAACATCATTTGAAGCTCGTACTGGATCGGTTAAGAGAAAAACAACTTTTTGCCAAGTTCTCTAAATGTGAATTTTGGCTCAAGGAGATTGTCTTTCTCGGACACGTCATATCCGGTTCGGTCGTTGCTGTGGACAACACCAAAATAGAAGCCATTATAGATTTGGAGAGGCCTAAGAATGTGAAAGAGATACGCAGTTTCCTTGGCTTGGCAGGTTACTATCGTAAATCTGTTGAGAAATTCTCCGCGTTGGCGTCACCACTTACAAAGCTCACGAAAAAGGGGGCTAAGTTTGTTTGGGACGACAAATGCGAGAAAGGGTTTCTAGAACTAAAGAAATGACTTACCGAAGCACCAGTTCTTGCGCTACCCATGCAAGGTATATGGTACGATATCTATAGTGATGCTAGCATCCAAGGTCTTGGATCTGTACTAATGCAGAAAGGTAGGGTGATTGTCTATGCTTCTAGGCAATTGAGGAAGCACGAGGTGAAATACCCTACCCATGACCTAGAGTTGGAAGGGATAGTGTTTGCACTAAAGATTTGGAGGCATTATCTCTACGGAGAGACATGTCACATCTACACCGATCATAAGAGCTTGAAGTATGTATTTACTCAGAAAGAGCTGAATATGAGGCAAAGGACATGGATGGAGTTGATCAAGGACTATGACTTGATCATCGACTATCATCCCGGAAAGGCCAATGTGGTGGCCGATGCACTAAGCAGGAAGAGTACGTCAAGGACGTTACTCACATGCCTACGGGTATCGCGGGCACACATGAAGGTGTCCCAGAGCGGGGCGCTCATAGCTAGATTTGAGGTTAGACCAAAGTTGCTGAGTGAGATCAGTAGAGGCCAGGGCATTGATGAAGAATGTTAGAAGATCCGCGAACAGATCCTTGCGGGGCCCGTTTAGAATTTTTGGGTACGCGATGATGGTCATTTATTGTTCAAGCACCGTGTATGCGTACCAAAGGATGAGGAGCTCCGTAAATCCATACTTGAGGAGGCTCATTCTTTAGCTTATGTTATGAATCCAGGAGGTACAAAAATGTACCGGGACCTGAAAGAAAGTTATTGGTGGTCCGGTATGAAGAGGGACATCGCAGAGTATGTGAGTCGTTGCCTTACTTGTCAGCAAGTTAAGGCGGAGCATCAGCACCTGGCGGGGCTTTTGCAGCCACTTACCATCCCAGAATGGAAGTGGGAGCACGTGACCATGGACTTTGAGGTAGGATTACCACGAACTATGAACAACTACGATGCGGTATGGGTGGTGGTTGATAGGCTTACCAAGAGTGCACATTTCTTGCCTATCAACATTACTTATCCCCTTGAAAGATTGGCCAAGTTATACACTGAAGAGATTGTGAGGCTGCATGGGGTCCCAATATCCATTGTGTCGGATAGAGATCCACGATTCACATCTAGATTTTGGCAAAAATTTCAAGCATCCTTGGGGACTAAACTGAAGTTTAGCACAACATTTCACCCACACACGGATGGACAATCCGAGCAGGTGATACAGATTTTGGAGGACATGCTTAGGGCATGTGCTTTCGAGTTCCAAGGGAGTTGGACAAACACTTGGCCCTTGTAGAGTTTG